GTGCGCCCGGGATTACAACATTTTCGGAAATTTCTGATGGACAAACAGATATGGACCTTAAAATCAAATGAAAAACAAATTAGAATGGAAAGTATTCACGGGAAAAAATGAACACGAACATCTTAAAAAAAAATCTTGAAAAAAACGAAATAAAAATACCATTCTCATCTTAATATCAGTGCACTGACGAGCAAGTTGAACGGCAAGTCTTGTAACTTCTTCACTGGAATCGGCAATAGCTTTAGCGCAGTCGATGAGATCTTTTTTGGTCCCTCCTTCACCGCGCACAAGTTGACTTAATCTAGCCATTAATATGGCCATACGTTTTGCGGCCGCAACAATTTCATTCTCATGACTTGACCACTGACGCAGTTCCTGATGCAAATTATGAGCGGCACTCAAAATTGGCTGACTAGATGCTCCGGGCAATGGATATCTTTCCCAAAAAGCACGTGTTTCTTCTTCATCGTCTGTCTCTGGTGGAGGTGGTGGACGAGGTGGTGGACTGATTTCCACTGGTGGTGGCGGTCTCGGAGGTGTCGGTATATCTTCTCTTATGTACACTCGGTCGTGAACTACTGGGCTGGTAGGCGCTTTTGGTGGTACCGACTCAATCAGCATGTTTTGACTAGGTGGTCGTGAACCTCCCGCACCTGTTATTGCATCACCCACTTGCCGTACGGCCGACAACAAGTGCTCATTTGCATCACGCCAACTCTGTGCATTACCACCATGGCGAGGATTCAGTGCCACCTGCTTCGCTTGATTCACCATTGGAGGAATCGCTAAAATGCATTATATGAATGGTATATTGACAACATATGTTTTGCCTGGTCAAAATTCAAAGTGATATTTAACGATAGCTCGCAGAAAACCTTAAAATATTTGAATTTTCTAAGAAAAGCAATAAGTGAACCAGAATGAAGATGCTGAGCCGCATTGTTAACTCTATGCACAAAGCTTGGTTCTTCTGAATTATCTGCTTCATTTTTGGCCGTCATGAGGACACGATTCCCAAAGCGTGCTATTTGCGATGTATTGTCCACCATTTGTTGCGGTTCATTATTTCGAATCGCGTTCTCACAATACACTGTATATTGTCTCATTGCTTGTTCACTAGCACGAATGAAATCACCAGTGTCGATGGCATCATCAACATGAGAACGAAGTCTGTTCAAAACATCCGTATATTCGCGTCGTAAATTATCGAAATGCTGATTGGCTGAATCGCTGTTGTTGTGCAAACGTATTTTTCCGGCGTTGATCACTTGTGGCGTCATTGCATTCACCTGTAGCGAAACAGTCCCTTGAATGAATCTGAGAGAAAGTTTTAGAAATGATAAGGAGACTAATAAACTTAGTGGAAAGCAAACGCAGGCCAAACCTTAACTGTATACTAACATATTCTCCCCTCCTCCAAACAAAAAAGCAAACGATTTAAAACATAAGAAATATCTAAACTTTCCACATATGTAAATAACCTGAATTTGAATACTCCGCGAAGGTAGTTCATGAAGGGAGCAGGATCTCCTTAAACAGCTACAAATTATGAATTTGAAAATTACATGCCTGATTTGCTGTTTCAATTATAGCTTCAACGGTCTTTTTATTCTTGCATGGACCACATTTGGCAACAAGCAGTGCTGTATTTGCACATCTGGAGCTGTGATCATTCAGGTTACGCGCTTTTTCTTCAAAGTTCAATTCACGATTAAGCATTGTTGGTGGTGCATATACAGCATCAACAAACTGCTTCAGCGGTGTGCTGATATCAGCAAAGTCTTCAACGACCCGGTCAGTAATTACTTTCTTCATGAAGTCTGCCAATTCGCGCAATTTATTACGTAACTGATTGCGTACAGCATGCGCTGTTGGAGAATTTCCAAGACCGCGACGTTCCAAATCAGCCAATTGATCCGCAAGCCGATCGATTTCTACACAAAGATCGAGCAACTTAGCACGTTCTGCAGGTGGCAGTAAGTCGCTGAGATTACGCGCTTCATTTGTCATTGCTTTTACGGCTTGCAATCCTGAAAAAAATCATTATTTACAGAAGTGAAATACGGAGTTTATATTATTAAGCACATAGCTAGTAATTCAAACCTAGCGATTTTTGATTTTCGGACAAAATTCGTTTCCAACTTTGATTACTTCGGTGAATATCCATTTGTTCCCAAAGTAACAAACAAAAAGCGTGCATCGAAACGTTAAATGAAAACGAGTCTAGCACTTTAAAAAATGTTTCTTAATAAGTTGCAATTGAAACTACTGAGGTACACGAAATTTAGCAGTTAAGCTTGCAGTATCAGCAGTTACTCTATATCTGGTCCGTGTATAGCAGAATCTTCGCTACATATTAATGATAAACTACCTAAGCCATCATCGTCAACTCCTGGATTATCTAGCCACCTGAGTGCCTGTTCAAGACGTCCTGCAACGGTATGTGCAGGATGCGCACCACCAGTTCGTTGGGTATTCGTAAGTGCACCAGGTAAAATACCACTAATTTCTTTTGTACCAACAAGTTCCTTCAATCTATTTGCACATCCATTGGCCAAACCGTGGCTGTCGCCACCCTGGCTACGCAATTCACAAAGTGAATCAGTCATCGAGGTGATGTCACCCACTGTACGCCTAATGAGACGAGCATCTTCCGGTAGTGCTCGTGCAGCAATTCGTTCAGAATAATCCACAATACGTCGTATTGCCTTTTCACCAGTAGCACCAGCGCGACCACGTGGATCAGCAAGCCAATCCAAAGCTGAGGTAAGAAGACTCTGTGCAGCATTAAGAGCCTTTCTCATAACAGTGACATTATCACTGTCCCATTCATCTTCATCGTATGTCGTTAACTGCAACACGCGGATTATTTCATTCATTTCATCCGTCATTCTTTGCGCCAAATAATTACGATTTTCTGCTGCTTCCTGCTGCCCGCGCTGAGATTCTTCCGTGATTTGAATGAATATCTTCATTGCACAGATCATGATTGGTGAAAGAGTTTTCACAGTATCCATACACCTTAGCAATATTTCGCGATGAACTTGATGAGTAAGCTCCTTTTCCCTTGCATCAATATTTCGTGAAACTCGAGTTAACCAAGGACTGATATCCTGAAATCGTACACAAAAGTAAATATTGAAAATGAAATTGCATCGCAAACAATTTGAAATATTATGCCTCTTCCAATATAGGAATGCAGTGACACATCAGAAACGACAGTAAAGTAATTTACTTTAACAAACTGTGCCAGATCATCCATGCTCTCAATTACTTCAGCGACAGCCAAATAGTCAAGAACTTTACGGCAACCACGAATAATTTTTCGCACTTCGGACTCATCAAAGCATAGCAATAACGCAGATGTGCCTTGCAGAATGCCTCTAGCCCCTTCGATTAACTTTTTTCTCGCAACGCTAGAATATGGATCTGCTTTGAGCATATGGCAAGCATCCTCCAACAAACGAGAGCTAGCTTCTACTCGCTGTAAAGCTGGTGGCATATCTGCTTGTAGAATTCGATCATCCGACGAATGACACGTATCATAGCCAACCTAAATTCAAATTGTGACAGGAAACAAAAATTACCACAGTAGAACACTTCAAACCATGGTACTTATTTAATAAGAAATAGGTGTAAATTGACCGCAATCTTGAAAAGTATTGGAGTGAATGAGGATACCTTGATGAGATTATCAACCGCTCGAGATACAGCACCAACGGGTCGGGTAAGATCTGGCACTGCATTTCCATCTTCGGCTTCTTCATGAAGAATTACCAAACGTGATACCTGTAACGAGTTCGGAAATCAACTTTATCATACTTGATTAAATAGTTTTCATGACAAATTTTTGACCTTTTTTTGCTAATTTCCAACCACTCTGAAAAGCCACGATATAAGTCATTATAAATTATAATGCTCCGAGTTCCTAAAATTTTCTGTGCAGTTAGATTAATGAAAAAAGAGCTCACGTAAGAACTAAGTTGGGAAAAGAGAAAAGAGACCGTTTTATATTTGCACTTCTATACAGAATGGCAATGTAATACATCATAAATTCCATCCAAAGTATATACGTAAGGTGGGACCCTCTCAACAGTCATCTAAAAATGTGCAGATTATACGACAAAAAAACTATAATGGCTAAAGTCTTCTTCAAACGTTCACCACAACTTCATATTGGGAGTATAACAAAGACATGTCTTTTGTTCACATCACAAATAGTGTGTACGATGCCGTTGCACGCAAATGCATTTTCAGGTCCAAATTTGCACAGATATGAACACCTGTTAGAAGGAATAATTCAGTTCAACTCCCCATGAATTCGTTCAGTCTGTTTCAACAAAAAATTCTGAAGAAAAGAAAAAAAAACTCGAACAAAACACCCATATTTCGGCAGAAACGAATCAAACAGACAGCATCAAAGTAGAAAAACATCACCCGACCATTCACAAATGCAGTATGATCAATGAAAAAAAAAAAAAGTTACATGAATCAAATTTTAACAGAATGATTTAGATTAGAAAACGGATAGGCGAACAAATGATACGTAGCACACTGATCGATATCTCAACTGTCTCTCTGTGACGACTCGAAAAGGCCAAAGGCGACAGTGATGTGTAATCACGAAAACAAGAAGGCATACTACTCCGATACCTTCTTGTACTACTTGTACTAACTACACCGTTCGATTTTTCAGGGAATACAATCTCACAAACCGGTAAATCTCCAATTCTGCCCGTTTGTCTAGTAAAGGTGGAGTGAATGGAATGTGTGATTTTTCACTTTCAGCCCATAATATAATCTCCTTTACACTGGAGACTGTTTTAATGAACTTCGGCAGCGGCCGCAAATTACGGACACGGACGCCTTATGGTCAATGCGAAATACCTCAAAGAGCTCAGGAGAATGTAGAAATTTCAAATGAACGAAGTGCAGCAAATGCAGTAAAGATTATGAGTGCCTACAAAGTAACAAGCAACACATTCCACGCAAGTCCATATGAATGCTCATAATATGATCCAATATGATTCCGAAGAAATCTGGAAATATGGAGCAGCACAATCTCCGGACGATATTCAGGATGTACGACAACACGATACCCTCCTTAGATATCCACCCACTCGTAGTGTATGTAACCATTGTAAGGTTGATTTCAATCTTGGTCTCATTTAGTTCCATCTATGCAACATATTGCGAGAAATACAAGGAACAAGTGGCATCTGTGAAGTAATTATTGTTTATGAGTAATGGTAAGTCACAGCTATGTATAATTATTCACTGCGCCGTGTATGCGAGTAGATGACGAACGACAGCTGAGGGCCGTTGTTTCTTTGAAAAAGCGATGGTGGCAGAACATTCCGTGCACTACCACATATCAGGTGCTATATTTAACGCGATGATGTTATCTCGGAAGATGATGATGAACAGCTGGTCTAACAGCGGTCGGGCTTTTCAGAATTACTCTCTTCGAAGCGTGTGAGTATGTATATGCGTTGCTTAGTGCTAATACAGGGTACAAAATAGCTACCCACCCACACAAGCCTGCGTAAAGTGCTTCTGCTTCTTTCATGTGGAGCAGTAAGTGGCAACTCAATCCGCAGTCAACAATTCACTTCACTTGCAAGTTCTATTAGACAGTTGGACAGAGACAATATATCCACATGTCGAGCAAATACACACACTCACACACCTCCCTTCAGTACACAAATTTAATACGTTGAAGCAGTCTGATCCACAGTATGCATACATCGATTACCATTCAGCCAGGAAAAACAATTAGAAAACTAAATGGAGCAGAAGTGTATCATCTTAGCAAACTGATAAACGAAAATTCTTGTTATGGAGTTATCGAATTCAACTATCGCTCATAATTCATCTCTACCTAACGGCTTAACGATACAATATTATTCATTTTTTCCATAGTGAACCTACGCAAAACCTATGTATCGTCGTTAAATGCACGACAGAATCACAAATTTCAATGAACAGACTTACGCTAGTCACAAGATCGAAATTCCAAATGAATTTTCCTCTTACCACGCTTCAGTCTCCATCAATTTCTCCATTGAAAGATGAAAAACTAAGCTTAAAGATTCCAAAATACTAGAAAAAATATCACACTCCGTAACTCTACAGCTAGGATGGGTGCAATCAAACCGGATAATGATAATAAGCAATGAGCAATCATTCAAAACATTCTCAAGTTGCGTAAATTTGCTAATGGAAAGTCTAATCCAGGAACTCCTTTATCCTTCCAACTCTTCATTCCATAGAAAGTCAAATTTTAGCTTAAAATACTACATAGATTAACCATTATAAAATACTACATAGATTAACCATTATAACTGAGAAATGGCGCTCTGGAATAGGAAGTCCTAATTATAATATCCACATACCGGGAGATGCCTAAACATAATTATTAGCAAATATCACTTTTGAAGCGCTAGCAAAGCAAAACCGAGCTTCTCCTCCGAACAAGTTTATATGTTTGTCCCAAACTGCTTACTTTAATTTCTTCGAAATGAGAATAGTGATGGCTTGAATGTTACCCCAAAGAAAGCTTTTCCACTACAATTGGTTTCCTAAACTGAATAATTAAAAAGTCAAAAAGATACAGAAACGTCAAAGTGATCTAAATGTTGGCAAACACAATAACAGAAATATGTTGAAAATGCTAGGGACTAAAAGTTCGAAATGTGTGCAACGCTGTAGAAAGTAGAGGAAAGTAGATGGTAAGGTTTACCTGTTGTGCCACAGGCTCCAAAATGCCTTCAATGGTTTTGGTATGAAATACGGGCATGATCTCAGCAGCGATGAACCGTGTCGTATGAAGTTGAAGTGGAAAAAAGCGAGGATTTACAACACCAGCTCTACTAGCCTTTCAGCTTTCAGAAATAGAAACAGTAGCTCAGGTGGTACTGATCGTGTACTGATGATCAACTGATCAGGGGTCAAGGTCCCATAACTCTCTGTTACTCTTGTAGCAAATCGCTCGGAAATTGCTGGGATCTCTCCACCGATGATCACCACCGGAGGGGAGAAGAATGAATGGATGAATGAATGAATGAATGAATGGATGAATGAATGAATGACTGAGTGAATGAATGAATTGAATGAATGGACGGATGGATAGCTGGACGGATAGATGGATGGATAGATGGATGGATGGATGAATGGATGGTCGGTTGGTGGGACTCAGTAGGTAGTCGTCGACAACTCTCTCATCACACCAAACCTTATTGCCCGTACTCTTTTCATCTCTCTCTCTCCTTTTCCCATTTTTACCATTTGTTCTAACATATCATGGAGCAGATGCGGTAGCTGACTCTTGCAACTTCCAGATGCTGTTCTCCTCTCTCCACCCACCTTCCCTTTCTCCCCTCCACCATTTCTTGTTCATCATGGCTCGATGTTTTCCCGACCGGACCGACAGTGCAGTCATCGTCACAACCCTGATCCCTCATCACTTGCGGTTGTTGATTGTGAGCGGCAGTAGCAATAGTATTAGTGTTATTAATAGTAGTGACACATCATAACAACATACGATTGTTGCAAGACAAATGAATAATTCTTCGCCATCCCATCCTGGACAGTTCATTCATTCCTACTGTCCATTGGTCATTAGACCGAGTTGTTTGGAATACACTCCTGCTGATCTGGCTGATTGCTGCTTTTCCTGCCTTATCAATGATATTACTGCATGAAACAGTCCCGTATGGGCATAATTCTGCAATGATGAGGCAACAGAAGGATATATCGTGCTATAGCTTTAACAGTTCCATCCATTATATGTCAGTAGAGACTTCAGTGTAGGTCACCTCGAGGTGGTCATTTTCATGTAGTATAAAATGAAGTAGTATTCACGTTGTAGGCAGTGCTGATGGATTTGCAGTTAAAAAGTCCCAGCAGCAACTGATTTACTTCATACATTTCCGAAAATTTTCCACCTTCATATTCCCGATTGTCAGTAGCTTCTTTGTAGCGTTGATTCTGCTCACTATTATTCCGCTGTACAGTTAGGACTTAGGACTGTCCTCATTCCAGATTTGTCAGATTCACAAAAATGCACTTAGCCTTTTACAGTCACAATTCTCTTGATAAATTTAAGTTTCGGCAGAATTTTGAATAAGGTGGCACATTGACGAATTGGTACTGCACATGTACTGACTACTTCATTCCACCCTCCACTTCACCATGTTCCAAGCTAAAGGTTTCAATTCTCGAAAGCATTTAGATCCAAAGATTTAGTTCCTTCTTTTACTGCAGTTCATTGGAGAATTTCCAATTTACGCAATACAATAGGTGGAAACGATTCCAAAAAATTTTTCCTGTTGATGTTATACATTCTCAACTGATACCTGCTGAATCATTCAGAGAGGCTTTGAGAAAGTATCCTCACCAATACTGTTTTCAGAAATTTTCTTCACTTTAAAACAAATGTTATCACTGATAAAAGGAGTGGGTGATGAGCTCGCCAACATAACTGTTTTCGTAACTATTTGTGAGAACTAAATTTAGCACCTTAATTTTTTTACACATCTTTTCGTCGTAATTTTGGCAGTGTTGCGGTGCGTATTGCAGATAGCTTGCTACTTTGTACGTTGAAAATAAGTCAAACGGCAGTTTATCATTTTATTGGAAACTATTTATTTCATTAAACATGTGTGTGTCAGTTCCTGAGATTAATCGGAAATCACATATTGCCGAAGATCGACCATCGAAGTGTCCTTGTGGAATTCTTAACTGAGTTTAATCCTAAAATGTATAGAATATCCGGGACGGTGATGGGAAATGATATTTTTCGGCAGTTACGATCCACAATTATAAGAAGAATAAGTGGCAGCGGCAGCAGCAGTAGCAAAGGTTGAAACAGAAACACGTACTGCTCGGCACTGTCTAGTGTAAGCCAAATAGTTATTGCCAAAGCCATACATTATAATATTGTACCATTACAAGGAACTAAAGAATTTTTTATACCATGCACTAACTGTTACCTTTCGCTGCACCAGGAACTATCGCGTTCTGTTCCTTTACCAAGTTTTTTCCCTCCAGGTTAAGTAAAAAACGTTTCTGTTGCAATCCAGAACGATAATCATGATTTATTTTTGAAGAATTTTTTTTCAAAAATGAAACGATCTCAAATGGCTGAGAGCTAATACATTAACGTATAAACCCATCTGCACTAATCACATTTACTTTTCCTGTTTTGAGTTCAAAAAAAAAATCTAGATGCAGTTCAGAGGTATGTAAAAACGCATCCTTCATAATATTTTCTTGAAATAGTGGAATTCACTTCCATTAAGTGAATGATGACTTCAGCTTTAATCGTTGCCTGATCTTATGCAAAAAATACGTGGCCTCAGAGAAAGGCATTCAGTTCCTCTATTAACTTATGCGTCTCTGAGGACATACACACAAAAAAAAAGAAAAAAAACAATGTCGTACAATATACTGAAGTGTAACTGTCATCATCATCATCATCATCCCCCTCCAGCAAATGTCGCAATCGATACCGCTGGTGATGAATATTCCAAAGCAGTGCATATTTCTAGGTGATATCATCATTGGAAGAATTTAGCAAAATGAAATGGGTTCCGTGTGTGATATTAGAACCAGGCATACTGTTTTGCGGTACGCAAGCCATCACGATAGATTTCAGATAGATTTCTCCCAGAAATATTTCTTGCTTAGTGAAAAAAAAGTCAATTTTGTTTGAGCCTGTTGTATGATTTCCTGCAAATAAATGGAAAATGAGTATGCTGGAGCACGAAAATCTCGTGAATACACTCCATCCACTGCAACACGCAATTGGATGGAGTTTTGTCCGACAACATTCACATTCTGAAATCAGGAAGAAAGATAACTCTAAAGGCTGTGGTTAACGATAGAAACACCACCACAGGCATCAGCAACCCCAACATAGTAGAATTAAAATCGCCATTGCGCGAAGTGCAGTAAGCGACGAGCAACTCATTCACACTCCGGCAACTTTTGCTGTTTTCATTTCGCGACCGTCTTTTGCAGAAGAGGGTCGGGAGTTTGGGGCTGTGGTTTGTAAGTTTGAGAAGTTGGCAATGGTTTTGTTTCTAGACTCATGTTGAGGTTAAATGGAGTTGTTAAGATACGATGCTTGTCTAATTTATGAGTAATTAAAAGATTCAGTCCTTTCCCATCATCATTTACTACACTTTGATGGTTTAGTATCGTAGTACTTTATCAGCGAATAATTTAACTGATATATTGATGACAGGTAATAATTAAACTTTTTTCCTCGCCTTCCTTTGGCTCACAGACAGGTTTTGATCGTTATTACAACTTTCCTTATATTTCAGTATTTGTTCGTTATTCCGAGGAATAGTACCATACGGGAAATAAAGTTAAATAATAAGTGGCAACACTGTTAAACTGTAACTCATTGAAGTTTATTAGCTGAGCATGTAAAAGGAGAGATCTATCGAAGATATCGTGACTGTAGGCGATGCTCGAGAGCAATCGAGTAAAGCTATCTGTCGATCTTACAAAAAAGACTCAGGCCATCGTTGGTAGTTAGATTTCCGATAATTAGAAGAAAGTAGTCCTCGTGTTGCCTTAAAGTACATTATTATGCCGTATGTTTTCGCTTTTTTTTAAATGAAAATGCCTCTAGATAAAGTAAAATGTTTGGTGGAAAACTTCTATAAGCAGTTGTTTGAATCGAATTTGATAGAAGCAATTTGTTGTGATCGAATATGCCTTTGCTTTTGTATGGTGCGCGGTTGGTGTATTCTAGACATATTTCACATCGATATTTATCCGGTTTGCCAGACACCTTCAAACCCTTTAAACTTATCAATCGGGTAATCTCATATATTGATGATGTGACTGGTGCCACAGAGATTCGTGAAGCTCATGCAACGTTAAAACAGGTCATTTTTTAAAATGTTTCTTGAAAATTCAACATTCTCGGAATACATGATAACCATGAACATCGACACACAGTGTTATTACGATGAAACTCCTTTTTGATTCCTCTGTAATCATACTTGAGTCACTAGGTCACAATTGAAACTCAGTGGAAAGTATTTGCGTCTAATACTTTTCACTATGCCTCCATGTTATTTTACCAGGCAAATTGGAAAGAAGCTCTCCTATGTCGATAAACTAAAATGATCCGACAGTATCTAATCTAGTCTATGATGGAATGATTTAATGGTTAACTTCATGAAAGGACGGTTAAAAAAAGATGTACGCACTTCTACATTTAACTTACGCAGAGATAATTGGACTGACGGAATTAGCATGAAGCGAGTTCATGTTATGTAGAATTCTTATTGGGTTGTACTCAGAACAGAAACGCTGATGAATGCAGTTGATAGCACTGAAACTATTTCAGAATGAAAAAAAATTACAAGACGCGCAGGCTTTGCGACGTAAAAAACGCGATGAGTTGGATACGTTACAAATTCGAATGAAAGAGATACACAGTGAACTAGACAGGTTTTCTCGTGGGGATGACAAGTATATCTTGCCTTTTTGTGGGCTATTATTTATCTTCTTTTCAAGTGTGTTTCTAAAATTGGTGTCAATATTTCACTGACTTTGTAGGTATCGTGCTATCGTTGTTCATATGTAGATAGGTAAAATTTTTTTTGCTTTTAGTTTTTTTTTTTCCACCAATCCCTTGTGGAGTTAGAAGTTTTAGCCAGAACTTTGTCTGACATGGTAGAGTAGGTTGAAATATATACCGTTCGGCTGATAATAATCAAGGAACAGGATCGCCATGTGGCCAGTACACCGTTCATAAAAGGAAGTTGGGAGAATAATAAACAAAAACAGCAGTTGAGGATGTGCTAAAATTGCATTTGCTGGTTCAATTTATGTCTACTCTTTCTAAAAACAAATATCAGTGTGAATTTCCCTATTTTTAACATAAGCAGATTTGTCAAAATTCTGCAGGTATCTACGTTTGTTAACCGAAGAACATGCAGTTATAAAAAGTGAGCAACTTTTAATGGCCGAAGTTAGAAAAGCAGATGAAGCCGAAAAAGCGGCATTTGATGCATTGTCAAGTACGCTTCGGACTAGCCGCGCAAAGGAACAGGAACAGTGAGTTTCAGTCTTTTCAACAAAACAGTGAGGTGGTGTTCTTAATGATGCTTTTTTCATTTAGTTTAGGGCGTATGGAAACATTAATACTATGTAATTGAACTTACTTCTCCCCGTATTCTTTTTTCCCATCCATTCTAATGAAATAACTTAGATGAAGTGGCGTGTATTCCCAGGAATTGTGGATTTCAGATCGGACAGAGTAAAAACGTGGACAGTTATAGCTTCCACACTTGGTGCACTATTTGGAATTGTTGGTGCTTGGGTAGCAAATGAAGTTAGGATGCGTAAGATGAAAGAGCTTGTACCAGACTCTGCACTGTTGACACCACTGGTGAAAAAGATGACGGCATTGGTTGAGAAACAGCAGAACGAGGTAAGTATGGAATTGTACTTTTTTTTTCCTCTGTAGATCAAGAACACAAGTAGAATACCACGACTTGTTCCCGTTGATATGTTATTAAACTGGTGGAAAATGTTATGGTTTTGAATAGTGGAGCCTCATCTTGCATTTTCTTTCATTATATTGTACTTCTAAATGGGCTGGAAAGATTTTTCATATCCCTAGCGATAGATAAGGCATTCAACAACAGAACCACCGTCCAAAGGATAGATTCCGTATAGATTGTTTGAGTTCTTTATTAGTTAAATTTTTTTTGCAACATGTCATTTCGCCAGATTTCCTTTAATTATGTGACCAAATCATACCTAAATCTTACTAGCAGTGCTTAAAGATGTTTTACGTTCTGCTATGCCCCTATGATATCACAATATTAAGATGTCAAAATAATGTTAAAAAATAACTAGTTATGTATTCTAGGCAAAAAAAAAACAATTGCAGGTAGCTGCATTTATCACTGACATTAGAGAAGCGATGCATTTAAAAGCCGCCGAAGGGATGGCAACTATTGCCCCAAAAAAAGGCATGACTAATGACGTACTGTCCGAAACGATTTTCAACCTTCTGCACGAACAGAATAAAGTTTTAACGAAGGAACTTGACGCAATAAAACGCTTGATTGCAACAGAGTTAAACTTGAAAGCAGAAACACCAAATGTGGTCTACATTGGCAATGACATGGAGGATCTCCTTAGTAAGTCAGAGAAAAATATTGAATCCAAAATGAAACTGCAGACACTTGTTGAAGTGGTTTTTCTATATACCCTTATAGCTGTGTCCTTACCATTGATATATGCTCTGTTTAAAGGACCTTAGGGCATTGGCGTATAATTCTCGGTGGTTGTGCACTGCTTTCGTTTTAAAACATAACATCAGGCATGTTATTATTGCCTTTACGGGTATTTAAAAATAGTATACAAAGTTAAGCAGAATTAGTTTCATGTCATTTTTGTTTTGTTTTGTTTAGTATATGTATATGTGCATCCGAACTCCACGAGTGCACGAAAACGACAGTTTGTGTTCACTGTATTATGCTGTTTGGTTGTTCAATGCATTATATTGTTTGTAAGTTGCAAATAAAACTGCCCGCAACTCAACTCGAGAGCATGACATCCTAAACAGGGATGTTGCCAGCGTCGTACACCAATACATATGAATCATTTCACGTTTTTGTCAAAACAAGATATGTACTATCCGTCCAAGCCTTGAGTCATGGTAACTTTGCATTATGAGGCGACGATCAATCTCATTTATAAATCGTCACAGGGATACAGTTACGAAACGTGGTAAGTGGACATATGAATTATTCTGTCGAGAAAAAAGAAATCACTTTAAAAGATGGATAGGGATAGATGAACCACGAGCCATAATTCCAATGAATCACAATTAGTAGTCGTCACCGCGGCTAACCACTTCTTTGCAAGTTGGTCGCAACAAAATTGTATGTTCCCACTGAGCAGTGTAACAACCCTTAACATCACATAAAGGAGGATAAGCCTGCACGATACCTTTGTCGCACAAATCCTTCAGTGCCATTAAATATTTCGTCTCTCCCAAACGATCCAGCCACCTTCGACAGAAAGCCAGCGTCCGGAAATTTTTGTTGATCACATTCAGCAAATTTTTCGATCGGGCTAATCTATAATTTTTAAGGAATAATATGAAAACAACTTTCCCAGCATAAAAAAATTTGCCACCCCCTTCCCTTCTCTGCTATAATTTTTTCGATACCCGATATTTTTTAAATAAGGGGAAACACCTGTTTTATATACCAGATAGCTTTATTATTTAATTAACTTCAAGCAAGATGCTAGATTCCAACGATTATGTGTCACTGTTAAGTTCAGTTCATTCGAACAAAGAATGACATCCAAATTATTACAATGGAAGAATGCTTGCAGATACCAGCGAAAGACTTCATAAAAGATAAGAACAATGTTATGCATGACTTCGAAAATGTTCCAGTTCCCTGAGTTTCTTCCTTTGGTTACTGAATACTGGAATCACACTAATGACAAATTGCAAACCTTAATGGGATATGCTCAGAATGAAGATCGTAATCTTTCATATAATGACTGCACTCCATATCATCATGAACATAGCCTTTACCAGTGCTACCGAATGTTTCAATAGCATAAAATTCGTTCTCTTCCATTTTTGTTTGTTCGCCTCCCTATAATACACCCTGCATATATATGCATTTTCACTTTCCAAAAACGACTTCAGCGGAAAAGCTATATTACGACTGCTTTATTGAACCTTACCTTTACTATAGGGACAGTTTTCCCAGCATGAATGCGATATGGTCCTATTGAATGTCCGTTCAAATTCCTGATGGGTTTCACGACATAAGTCCTGCCATCCAGTTCGACCTAATTGGATATCACTTATCACTACAACTAATTTATTGAAACGTTTAAATATGCTGTCAAAGATAAAGGTTTTTTTGTTTCTTTTTAGAAAGTTTCCAAGTATTTATAAAACATCTCCCATCAACGGAACCTCCTGATTACCGATTATATCGTGACTTCATTAGTACCGCGAATATAAAATTAAATATTCATCGACCAAGAAGTTACCTCGTGACTACTCATAACCTCCTCAATTGTCTCGCCGATATCACAAAGGCGAACATCAATACCTGCTTCTCGAATCCCCGCGTTGGTAGCTTCGTGTACTGCATTTACTAAATCATCGAATTTCGGATCGAAATGAAGTGTGAATGCACAATCGATAAGGCGTCCATTGACATGAACACCAAAATCAATTTTACAAACATCACCTTCCTATAATGAGACAAATCATTATTTACCCATTATTCGAAATCGAAAGGAAGAAAATTGGAAAGACAAACTTGTAAAACTGTAGTATCACCAGCATTTGGGGTGTAATGCGCAGCACAGTTGTTTAACGAGCAACCGGTTGGGAAAGCAAGTCCAGCTTTCAATCCATCCTCATTGATCATTCGACGTGAATGCGCTTCAAGACGCTCACTAAATTCTGAACTTTACTACAAAACTGTAACAGTAGAACTACATTAAACAAAGTTGAATGGGATAATGTGGAGTAGTACTGTATAATATTATAGACATCCCTACAGACGTATGTGAAGGGTAATACAATACCATTAAGAAAATTTGTTGGTATTATAAAAACCGAGCAAAAGTTGAGGCCAAAACTACCAGATTTCAATCATTGTCATTCCCGGCTTAATCCAAGACCGTGCATATTTTCGTGTTTGTCTGTGCGCCTCCGCAGCGCGACGGAAGTCTTTGTATGTCTCCTCATACGATGCATCCAAACTCTGCAAATATATTTCATCTGAAATGAATATCAAATTATATTGAAAGAAAATTCTTTGATACCTTTTTCTCTTCATTAGTCATCCGATTAACGGCAGTACGGTCATCAGTCTTAACTATGTATTCACATATTTCTCCAACAGGGAAATTCCCATCGGAAAATTGCTCGTCAACTGGAACCAAATCTTTTACTTCTTCTTCAAACTGTTCCGTAAGTGATTTCGTCTGTGCGGGCAGCGGTTTGTCATTTGCTCCCTGCCCTACAAAAAACAAGTACATATGGGTGCACTTTTAGTTCAGATTCCCAACAAATCCTCGGCTGAAGATCTACATCTATTCAATCTATTTATTTATCCATTAAATTTAGTTACCTACCTTTCCCAGTTCTTTTTGTTGATTTTGCTGCGGCTGCACCTGCTTTCTTACGAGTCTCTAGCTCAACTTCCATCAGTATCGCATCTAAATCATCGAGACCACTGGTTTCTATAAATAATTAATGACTCGTGTTAACTTGGTAAGCTTGTTTTGTGATTTGCTTCAAAGTTCTTTCTTCGTGTTTATAATGACACAACAAAATTAAGGATGATCATACGCTGGAACCATCAAGCCAGCTAAAACCAGGTAATCTAGACACTAAACAACCCAGACAACTGATGGAATAAGCAAAATGGTTTTAAAGGTAGATATCCCTGGCTTTTCCGTAAGAAAAGTTGTGGGTTCACCGCACATTCACGTCAACATCAGATAACGTAATGCTCTGAAAAGACTACACAGTTCTGGTGCTCCTGGAAAGGAAACCAAATAAACAAAAACCTGATTATAAAGATGTTACCATTTATGAAGTGTCAAATTCCTTTGAACAAACCTTTGTTTCTAGGATTTTTCTTCTTCTGAGCATTCATTGCAATATTACGTTCGGATATATCAGACTGAAATACATCAGATTTTATAAAAGTTCATGTGTATAAGTTCCTATACAAGTTCATGTGCAAATAAAGAATAAAAATATCTGATAGTTTCTTGGCTCACGGAAAAAAATCGTTCGACATTCCTCCCATAAACTGTAAGGAATCCCCTACTTGTTGAATAAATTATATACTACAATATATATGGAAAAATTGTCAAAGACCCAATACGTTTTTACTGTCACATAAGAAATAATAAGCAATTGCTAGAATGGAATCTTTGCAGTTCCAAAGACTTCGACGGCCATCAAGAACATTCAGAGGTTATCATCGCTATTCAGGGATTACCAGGATTATTCAGAATTCACCAAATGAGTGAAGTGTAATTTCTCAGTGGTAGCACAGGCGTACAACTGATAAAAGAAAAGGGAGTTTACTCCAGAACTACAAATTAAAATCCTAGAATACAAGACAACCAGTCCGACCCCTCACATTGCAACCTCCAATTTCCGTTCTCTGAGACTACAGTATAAACACTCAGTCACACCACACCTCGCTTTGCTTGCAAACCAAGTCCCGCTGGGTCGCCCTGCACCACCCATAATGAAAGACATCACCTTTCGTTTCACTATAAAGTAGCCCCTTGTGGTCATAGTGTCCAACGCAGGGTGGAAGGTTGTAGCTGTTAGTAGAGGCTGCTAGTTGAGATATTTTAGGGTTGTCATCGATAGTTACAGTGGTGCACCTTTCAATAGCCGTTCAAATGGTTATCAAAGGCAAAAAAAGAAAAAACACGCTCAATCCGCTACTCCTCTTTTATTTTCGCAATAGTATCGAGTTAGTCTTGAAGCGCTTGCCTTACTCATTCACAAATTTAAAATCCCAAATTCTCAATGAAACGACAAATTGGTTATTTTACCGTCTATTCGCTAACTGTGCAGCCATTGCCGTAAAAGATAAACACAGGAAAGGATAAAATAAGTGAAATGCCCGGTGATATACTTTTTGTGAGAACGAAAGGAAATGATTAAGTACCGACATGTTCAAGCAAAAGGTTTTAGATCACCTGCCATCTGCATGAACTAAGCTGTGTAGGTTATTCTGTGTCACACCTCTGCCCCTCTTTCAATATACTAAGCTGCATAAAATGAGGCATAATAAAAGAGAATGTGATGTCCTTCACTAAGCTTTCCTTACGGTGATACAGAGTGACCCAGTAAAATTTGATTTGCAAGCAAGGAAAAGTGTGGCATGGGCGTCTGTGCCGGAGTCTCGAAGGGGGGATCGGAAGTTGCAATAAGCAGGATGGCTGTTTTGTATTCTAGGATTTTAATTTGCAGTTTAGGAGAAAACTGACCTTCTCCCATCTTTCCTTTGTCGATTGTACATTCGTTCGTGCTGTCACTGAGAAAGTACACTTCCATTCACCTGAATAATGTCGTGATTTCTGGATAACAGATGATCTCTGAACGATCCAATGACCTCTGGACAACCAGTAGCGCCAGGATTTGAGGGCAGAAAAGAGTTCCACTCACTTCACTGACTTTTAGATTCTGGGATAGGGTTCGATGCGCAAGTAACAAGATCTCAAACTTTATTTGCTAGCGAAAATTCCGGCAAACAGTAATCTCCGCACAGTTATCTCAAAATGAATTACGGGTGACAGGAATCAAGCCTATCCGCTTACTTAAAGATCAGGTGCTCGGAACTTTTTCAAATTCAACTCGTCTACAAATGAGACCTTTTCACCGACCACACCTCCTTTATTTTGGACTTTAATAACTCTGGCCAAAGCCAAACAGTAACCCATCTACCGGTTCATGGTTCACTAATCCTATCTCACAAAATGTCAACGTAAGATTGTGAACTTCTTGTAACTTCTAAATTTGCAATCTTTTTTGCAAGATTTACAGAGTCAGCATAGAGAGAAATTCGGAGACAGAAAGAAGTATATCTAGAAGGGGTTGCAGTGCGTCTTTTTATGGAATTAAGATACACACATGAAACAGAAATTACAGCTACAGAAGATCTTCAGGGGAATAAGCGATGAAATCGACGCAATCACGCTCGATCATTTAGTCACACATAGTGAATATGCGGAGATAGCTGTGCCTTGTACATATTTGACGTTGTAAAATGTCACTCAGAGAACATAATCAAAGAAAATTATTCATCTACTCTTGACATACTAAGAAATGAATATCAACAAGTGTAAACGAACAAATACATACATCACATTTGATTGCTGCTAACATGATTGTTTACCTGTTTATAACAGAACATTCATATAACAGTAAACTTACAGGAGACGTTACAGGATAGGAATGGAAGACAAAATACGATTTTACAAAAAGAATTTCGTAAATAAAATATAAATTAACCCAACATATAAAAGATGAAAAAGGAAGAACATTTCATTATTTTTCTCCATTCACCGAATTTGAACATAAATGCAATCAGTATCAAACCAAAAATGTTATAGTACTAAACAGAATGGAGCGGTCGCGTATGTGCTGCATATATGGATTTCAACAACTATCGACTGAAATAGATCCAAATCTTCTAGGGATGGAAGAAAATTTGGTAGAAAGTTGGAACAGACGTCATAAAAAAGCATGTTTCTTCTACAAATACATTTAAACTGTAACGTTAAGATGAACAAGAAGAATCTAAAATCATCTCTTATCTCCTCTTTTTCTTTTTACACCTTGTTTGATAATCAAGAAAATATCCGGCAAGTTTTTAAATATGTGATGGATATCTGTACATGGAAGGGAAGCAAGAGTGATAGGGTTTATAATCATTCTTATAGGATACAGGATTTGCTGAAAAGAAAAAAGTTATGACTACATGTACTTTAAAGTGAGGTCTGAAAAAAATTTAGTGCCCACAGAAAACTTTGGTTTTCGATGAATATAAAAACACGTATGTTACCTAAACACAGAAGATTATCGAATACAAATTTTGCGTTACTTTCCACTGTTCGAAAAATACTATTTCCATTCGATAAGCAACTGCCGATTCTAATCTGATTCCATATTAATATTTGCCATGACAATTTTGGTTAGTTGATGAGTTTAGAAGCCTTCATCCCAACCAGAAAACTCATCAGGTGGTACGTCTTGTTCCGGTGGATAACTGTCAAAGTTCGTTACATCCGATGGACTTGCCACTTTTGGCACAATTGGTGCTTTCAAAGTTCTTGACCTCAAGCCTTCCCAGTCGAAACCCATAAACCACCTCAAAAAAATATGCTGTTCGAATTCTTTTTTTTCAAATGTGAAGGATATCTTTTAATTCCTTGATGAACAATAATGCTTTTTGACGGAACTGCTTATGAAAAAGTAAAAGGCATACCTATGTTTGCGGATATCACCAACACCTCCACTACCACAGCCAAGACGTTCACCGGGATTGTCTTTGCACAGTTTCTTAACAAGAGCCGTTGCCGTTTTCCCAATTCGTCGATTTGGAATTTCTAAGGCATCCACGCCTTTCAATATTAGTGTGTAAGTTTTCATCGGATCTGCGGCCTAAGAAAATGAACATGAAATCTTTTTTCACTATCTCGACTACCTTTCTTCATGTCTCAAAATTCAGTAGATAATTTTTCGATGTTTCATGAAAGTTTTGACCACTTCATTTGGTTCAGCATAAGCTTCAAATTTAGATCTCCAGTCAATAGTAAGTCGTACTTGAAACGGTGGACGACCGAGCATTAATTCACAAATATAAATTCCTAATGCCCAGTAATCAGCTGCTTGATCATGTCCCTTGTTAAGAATAATTTCAGGTGAAACATATTCTGGCGTACCACAGAAAGTCCATGTTTTGCGTCCACTTGCTAACTTCTTCGCGAAACCGAAGTCAACCTATAAAATATTAGCTGGATCAATAGCAACAAGACTTACATCAATGACAAAAATGTACACATATAATGAAACAAAGAATGTATAAATGGAACAAAAATGTACGGTGCATATGTGACACTTACAAGTTTGAGGTATCCTGTCTGAGTAAGCAAGCAGTTTTCTGGTTTTAAATCGCGGTAAACAATGTTTTTTCTGTGAAGATATTCAAGCGCCTCCAAAACACAAGCGACGTAAAATCGAGCAGTATAATCATCGAAGTGCCCTCTGTCTCGAAGCGTAGTCCATAACTCGCCACCCAAACAAACTTCCATCAGCATATAAACGTATTTTGCGTCACGAAATGTTGTGTATAATCTGAAAGACAATGAAACAACGATCTCAGCAAGATTAGAATTAGATCAGAGATTTAAATAACGACTAAACACAAAAAATTATATAAATTTTAAAGTTAACTGAACAAGACTAAAATAAGTCAATCGCATATCCTTCAAAGTACCTAACAATCCAGTCTGAACGAGTTTCCATCATAATATTTCTCTCCGCAAAAATATGTTCTTGTTGCCTTGTATCTACAATATGCTTCTTTTTCAAAGCTTTCAGTGCAAATGTCCGCATTTTGTCACCACTGATGCAAACCTGAATCTTTTTTAGGTGATAGAAATTAACTAACATGAAAACAACATGGACACCTCAAGATATGGAAATTACGATGTTCCTCAGTATAAAGAATAAAAAGTATCCTCGAAGCAATAAAAGACAATGCAACATGTGCAATGTTTACTGACTGACTAGGCAGGGAAACCCAAACTACCAACATAACAACACAGGCAAAACGACTGGTACCGCTGTTTCGAATAAACATGGTGATAACAGCTGGATCGTTGAATAAAGTGATAGCTAAAATCTTTTGAATAGAATGATAGTTTATACTCCATTATGCTACAACCAGTTGAAATTAAAATGAAAGACATGTCAAAAAATTTTATCCAAAATACGAACCAATTCAACACGACCAAAACCACCAACACCAAGTGTGACAATCCTTTTCAAATTTCTTAACTGCAAATCAGCAAATTCTTTCTCCTGAGCAGTCTTTTTCGGCGATGGTGGCTCAGGTACAACACTGCAATAAAATGTTTCTGTAACGTCACCAACTCAAACAGCATCTCTCCTATCCAGGTAAGAAATAATCTGAGAACATTGAGAAAAATGATTACTTACATAGTGGCTCTTCTTAGTGAATCTCCGTAGTCGCGATTTAGGGCTTCAAGATCTCCAATCAGTTTTGTGAACGACTCTCTGTCAAGTGTCAAGACTTCTACACCAGGATTAATTGCGATGACACTTGCTGTCCTTACCTGAAAAAAAAAGAAAACTTATATTGAATAGAAAAAAGACAGTAAAAGTAGATAATATTAAAATACTGCTGCATATAAGCACACCTCTTCACCAAGAAGGGCTTTTTCACCGAAGAAGTCGCCCTGCTTTAAAATACGTATCTCTCGAGGCTCCGGTTCGTCTTCAATCTGCTGTGTAACACGAACCTGACCATTCGTAAGGATGAAGAATGTGTCACCCTTAAATAAAGTTTTTATAGAAAGTACAATATAATACTAATAAAGCTGAATTAGATTTACCAAATCAAAATCAAATCCGCCCGAGTAATTCCACAAACTAATACATTTAACTGAAAAAAAACCTTTTCTCCTTCTCGAATAATGTAATTCCCACCGGAATAATAATCCTGGTCCAAAACATCAGCAATTTTTGATATTCGGTCTTCCGATAAATTTTCAAATAACGATACCTGCAGTAACGAGTTGACAATGCTGAATTATAGTTCAGCGTTATTAACAGGGAGATTGGACAGCCTATGACACTACCATGGCACTTTTGACACCAATAATAGGAGATGGCAGTAAGTTCCATAAACCGAATTCTACCTGCTATTCGAAAAATGGTATTTTAATAGGCATGTTTTCAAAATATCATTGAGCATAAACAAACTTTGCTAAGAAATGCCATTAACTGTGCATGTCTTTCCATACCCAAACGCATGGTAATCATTTGGAAGACAGAACGATCCAACACCCACAACTGAACATCTGACAATGCTTGCACAGATGCTGTTCTGGAAATACATTTTCTCTCAAATAACTGCAAAAACTTTATCAAAGTGCATAGAAGAGATTTTCAAAAAGAAAACTTCTCGAGAGGTCCCGTACCTACGAAAATCCTGAGGTCACAAAGAGAGAAAATTTAGAAATAGATATGCCACGCTGTTTCGAAATCTTTACAAAGAACATACTACAAAGAACACAAATCAATAAAGAACTCACTTAAATAAAAAGTGCGTAAATTTACGACGATATGAAGCGACTTACCTAACACAGTTATAAAGAATAGCAAGTTCTCCCATAACAACTCCTGCACCCAACTTTCCCAATACAATACCTTCGCGTGATACTTGAAGCTGTCCCTCTGAAATGGCATTTCAGCGCAATAATTCCGTCCAAATCCAATATTTCCATCTAACATAATGTCACAACAACGCCTTGTTCTGTTGTTTACACCGGATATAAAAGAAATGAGAAAAATAAATTTTCTCGAAATATTATCCAATAAAAAAGAGAATGAAAATTAAACCTGCAACAACAAATAGTCGATCTCCAGGCTCACCCTCCTGTATGACCCACTGACCTGCACGAGCACGCATTTCATACATGCACTCCACCAGTTCTATAACTTGCTCTTTAGCAAGCTGTCGCAGGAAGTCATTCTTCTGAACTGCATCCCGAATAAGCTGTTTCGAACTGAATTAAAATACTATAAAACAACCGGTGGTGCTTCCGTAATGTTTAAACTATCAGAACAGCTTCTCTCCATTCAACGAATGCTTTTCGAAGTGGTAAGATCAATGAGTGAATTGGCACTCTTGTTCCGAATTAGTGTTTCGCCCAATCTTAACAAGATTGGATCATGTTATCCACTTTTCTTTTATCAGCTTCATTGTCCTTTAATGTTATAAATTATGATAATCAAAAGAGATAGTGGGGGCAACTGGAAGAAAAACGCAAATCTTTATCCCTGATACAAAAGTCCAGTGGTGCTTTGATGTTATAAATTATGGTAATAAAAAGAAATTAGATGGAAGTTACAGTTTTATGGTGCCTATGTATATTAATTAGTTTTATTATTATAAAGTTTGCTAACAAAGCGTAAAGCCATTATTGATGGCACATCCAGAACTCTGCTTTTTAGTAATTCGTAAGAACTTATGAAGCACATAAAGTTCACTTCCGCATCTGTTTACGATGCAGTGACGGAGTTATCCCCTCAAACACCTTCTTTGCTTTATAAAAGTAATCAAGCATAAAGGAGCGTGAGTAGGCCGTACGAACCCAGCAGATTTTGGATGATGCTGCAAGGTAGCTTTCTGCGTATCCAAGTTAGACGGTTCTGCAGATACTGCCATTTTCTTGGAACGAACACCGTCATCGGCAGCTGGCAACATCGCCTTTTGCTGAAGCTCAGTTCGCAACTCTTCCGTACCCCACGAAGCCTGCAAACAATCAGATGATGTATAACCAAATAAAGCTATAGGAAATGAAGAACATTAAAAACACCCTGATTACTTTCATGCGGGCAAAAATACCTTATGAGTACTGCTCAATGCTGCAACAGATTGTGCTTTTTGATCGAGTACAGAACGAAGTTTGTCACATTCTGACTGAAAATAATAGAAACATCAGTTACAAGTGGAGGAGGTAAACTAGAATTACCATAATTCAAATTTCTACAGATGACAATTCGAGAGAATAAATTTCTGGAAGTGTGAAACTGTATTCCGGAATTCCGAAACACAAACATTAATCAATTTCCTTTATACTAGCAAAACATACCTGCAATGTCCTCACTTCTTTTTCTAGTTCGTTGATCCTTTTCAACTGTGTTTCTACGGTATTTTGCTGTTGCCGAATTTGACGTTCCTTCTTCTCAATAGTTTCCTCCAGTTGAGGAATAAGCTTCTGGATTTCGTTAGCATCATAAGTTCGTGTGCCTATTTGTACCTAGAAAACGACAAATTATAAAATAACTAAAGCTCCTTAACCTTATTTCATTCAAATTTTCTTTATTATGAAAAAAGCTTCCTCTTGCGTCGTACTGTCGAAAAGCAATCATTCAACTTCGTGATAGTACATGATACACCAGTCAAAACAGAATCAAATAATAGTGGTTGCTTTTTCCTTGATTAAATCGACTGTGAAATACTCCTTCCCATCCCACCACCATTTTTACAGCTGAGAAATCAAAGAAGAATTTTCTTGTCGTTCTGATTGTCTCATGTACTGCTTGTGTATCTCTGTTTTTATTAATTATAAATAATAAACATTAGCGCGAAAGAGTAAAGAAACTTTGCTGATTCTTGTTATTCGCTTTCTTTCAACTGTTTAAACAAACACTCCTCACTTCATCACGCACGCAGACGATCAAAAACCAAGTTTTTTATCCTATCCGCACGGTCTATACTGTTTGTAAATTTCGCAGAAATTAAGTTGATGGTAGATAACATTTCACCCAACCTCTTTCATTTTTCTTCCAATGTCCCAAAGAATTAAGCGAAAGCTTAGGCAAGCTGTGGTAAGCATATGGAAACAAAGTTTCAAAAAACGTTAAAGAGTGATGTCTCACTTCATTTGTATGTCTTTCTGCACTCTGCAACCTGATCGATGAGAACTATTCATCTGCAGATTTGTTTACAAGATGGAATTCGTTAAAAGCTGTTACAAAGCAGCAGTAGCATCAACTAGCGGATGACTATGACCACGAATAACATAAGTTAAGCACACAAAATGTGCACCTGTTCTTGCACCCAAAATATATTCAAGCTGTTGTTGTTTGTTAGATAAGACAATCAAATAAAGATAAAAGCTTGCTAAGTTATGATCTAACTGCCACGAACAAAACAAGTGATGCTATTAAGTGATGTTATCAAGTATTCTATGTCCGTCCTTTCAAACGCCCCGATCAACTATACTCAGGCCTTGTGTGATTTTTCGAAGCTTTATTTTAACATGAACACTAAAGAAAGAGCTAGCAGTAAGCTAAAAATAAAAATTAGACACCATACAGAAAACCTATGTATTAGTATGTGTACGAAAAGTTAGAAAAACAAATCGTAAAATTAAAAGAAATCGTTGACCCGAAATGTGATCATGTTTCAGCAAATAATCTAGAGCAAACTGGTTAATATAAATGCTTACTGTCAGTGCTGATTTTACTATTACTATATAGAAATAATTGATGCACATCAACTGATTTGAGATGTACTTCATTCCAGCCCGGATAACTATCAATAGAAGAGGATGAGGCAATACCTATCAAATTCTGAGTTTGCATAGTATGTGATAATTGCAAGCCTCGAAACTGAAAAAAAAAGTATTGTCTATCCCTCGAGATGTATTGCATATGATCATATGTCAGGAAAACAGTATGTCTACTCATATAAAAATATCAAAAGCGATAGGAGCAGCTAACCTTTCTTCTAAACTAGTCGGACATTGCCAAAGCCCAGCGGGCAGTTCCAGGTAATCAAGAAGTCACAGTTTATTTTCAGTTTATTTTGTATCTAAAAAGGTTAGTTCCAAATAGCAAAACGATGAAGTAGACATCGAGCTTTTAATGGCATTAATTCTTGAAGCTTGTGATTTTATACTGCTATCAGTGATTATCACCTCTGTTCTTAATCATATGCAAGCAAAGTACATTTCACTTGTTTACGTAAGTTTGAATTAATGAGCACAAAAACTTCCTTCCTTACTCGACCGTTGTACATTAACTCAACTAAAAGTGGCCGCTGAATGAAGGAGATGGAATGAATCGTGATGAAAAATTAACAGCAAAGATAACCTGAACAAATGGGGCCGAATTTTGCAGCATTGTTCCAACAAGAAGCGATCAGCTGGCAACAGAATAGTTCGATTCAGACTCGATACGAAACCTAGATCTACGTCACTCCGCTTCGGATCACACTAGTGTTAAATGCTGCAACCAACCCACCACCACATCATATGTCCAAATGCGCTTGAGCAACGCGCACAAATAATCCCAATAGTAACAGCAGCGTTTCTGCAATACAACTGCAGCAAACAGTAAAAAGACTAGCCGAGGCAAACCTTCGAGCGATGACGAGGGGACACAAATTTTACTTTCATCGCCCTTCCTCCACTACATACACATACAAATGAGACAGCTTGGCAGACACACACACACACATACACACACACATACACAGATACACACACACACACACACATACATATATACACACACATACATACACACACACACACAAATACACGTACACATCCACTTAGGGCCAGCGACAATGTTTCGTTTATTAGTCAAGTCATAATGCTGTTTGGCCAGTGGACTAACGAAAATGCTTATGTGTGCTAATCAAACGTTGAAGGCAACAAAACTCGCAAAAATACGTACTATCATTGAAAGCAGTAAACGCTGCACCACACGCCACCAACGACAATCAGAAATCACTGTTTTCTCCTTATTCACATATCTTCTAATAGGATGCATTCTCACATGCTACGTTATTCTGGCAATAACGTAAATGAAAGATTATACTCATTTCTATAGTGTTCAATGTTGCAAGAGAAAAACCTTCTCTGTCCTAATGTTGCATCAAGTTTCGTTTCTTCCCTTGCTATGACCGCTACTTCCTCCAAAGTCTACTACCAATCATATTTTAGGAAGAGTGTAGTACCTAAATTCATGGGTAATCTATAATTCGTACAGGTAACATATGCTTTACTGCTTTATCTCACCAATTAACGCGTTCCAACCATGTTTTTTTTCCTTGCCCTTAATGTCGCTTTATATTATGGTGTCGAAAATCTTGGTTTTCAGAACAGTTCCATTAATAATGTCGTCTCTTCATCAGTACTATATAAAAGCATTAAAGCAAAATCTTTTGACTGCTCAACAGTATGGATGAATTCCACGCTAATTACAACCAAAATACTAAGAAAGCCCGTATCTCATTCTTTCCCAATTTGAGCACTTCCCTAATGATTCTAAAGAACTATTTCGTAGACAGTCTTGTGGATCTCAATCATTTACTATTGCTGATATAATATATAGTAAGAAAAAAAGTGCAGGCAACTGTTCACATTAATCAACTTACAAACAAATTCACCATCTTTGAATAATTATGCTACAATTATGGTAAACATAAGCATAAATATGAAATATAACATTTGCATCTATACTGCACTGTTGCTGTACCAATTCCGTGTGACTCTACATTCTTCGAAGAAAAAACTGAAGGATAGGATTTAATTAGAGAAAAAAGAAAAAATAAACTGGTAGTATGAAATGGTGTTAAGCTAGCTTGGGAAATGCAGTTGATTATAAAAAATCCATAACATAAATCGTAAACTCTAAAGATTGGAAAAACATGTAAAGACCTGATTAATGACCTGATTCCACATCCCGTCGGTTGTTGCACCACTGAGCACCAGAATATTCACTTAATTACTGGAGTGTTTCATTTAACAAGCAGTGGAAAAGACGCAACACCAGCATTCATAACAAAAGAATGGCCGATCCAATAAATGAAAAACAGAACTCGAGATGAAACCAAACAACATTGAAATAGAATAAAAAAAAATTAGAAACTGAGGAAAACAATCCTTATTAAACAAGTTTTTCACCGGTTTTTATACCCCAGTATATCTACAAAACCAGTTCATTTCAGCCCACAAAAAGCTTACGAGTTTCTCAAGCTATTTATGTAATAATTGCTACCAAGTACAAAAGTTGTTCGCTAATCCCTCGTATAAAAGAATTTGAGAAATTTATTTTCTAAATAGCAGTAACCTTTCAATGTGTCATATCTCTTTGTTCAATCACAAGGAAGAAGCTAATGAGTACTTAATCTGTGGTATAAATTAATCAATGGTTTTAGCGCTTGCATGTTCCTAGAATAGAGTCTATTCACAAAAATCGAAAAGTGCATCCAGTTATCTATAGAAAACCGAAACTCAATAGCTGCAAAATTTTTGTAGAAGAAATACTTCAAAATAACGTGTGAAACAGTTCACTAAAGTGATTTTCAAGAGTTAATATTCACAAAATTTTAGATGACATGCAAGCACGTTAATTTAGAGTCCCAATTGAAACAAGCCGCAAGAATCTTTTAAATTCAGAAACAAACTTGAAAGGAAGAAAGTTCCACAAATACCGATTAAAATTTTTTGTTTTGCTCCATTTATGCAAGTGGCTGCTAGCATGAGAAGCTATCAAACAAAAGAGTTCCTTAACTTTTTGCACTTCGAGAGAAAATATGCAAGCTCTACTGAAATTGCAAAGAACTTCCTCAAATCATTTGCCTAGCAAAAAAAAAAGTGGAAAAAGCGATCAAAAGTGCAAAAGAGTAGCTAATTGTAGGAAAATCAACAAACAAGCAGTTTTTCAAAATTATTTTTTCAATATTTATTCCACGCAAAAATTCGAATTAATTCACAGAGTCATAGAGAATAAAATATATGGATTGCAAAGAAAAAATTAACAATACTGTCAGATACACATTTTCCCCCGGCACAACTTATTTTATGGTAATACAAAAAGTTATCAAAAACTCTTTGCTATGAGCAGAACCACTTTGCGTACAGGGCTCTAAAAGTATATGCTTCTGTCTTTTCAGACAGCGCTAGCCTTATAAGTAAAAGGCTGGTTGATAAATCAATACTGCTCATACCCTCAGCTATGTGTCACTATACGTCTTATTACGATTCTGAAGTAAATGATAGAAAATTCCGATAAAAAATGCAAAAGAACAACAATGATTTAATAGAAAAAAGAAGGGAAAATCCAATCATTCGCTAAGCCATTTGTTAAGGATATTCAGTGACAGAGCACGACTTGACGCCAAAAGACAGTGCTTACCTGAGCTGGAGGTATTTGCAAATCGGATGGTTTACGCAATTTTGAGAAAAAACTCCGTATCCCAGTGCCACCAGATGTGGGCCTCGTGGCCGCCGAATTACTCATCTGCAAAAGAAATGGCTATAGTTGAGCGGAAACCTAAAAATTCAAAATACGACACATGAGCATCAACATGGATTTCGCTTTAGCTGAAGGTAAGCATGGAATAGCAATAATTGCTTAATTAGCATAACTACATATAACGGAAGGAAAATGAAGCAGAACCTTTCCCATAATCCTACGACCTTATCTCGCCATTTCAGATAATTAGTATTTACCCTATCTTACACATACTATTTCTCCAAAAATTCAATCCTTACGTTTTTGTTAATTTTCTTGGAAGCAGAAGTAACGAGAGGAGGAAAGGATGGGCTTCGATTGTTCCTATTACACTATAAATAATGGACATCATAGCAGATGGCATTTAAATCATTTGAATAGGTAAACTTCTCTCTTCCGACAATTCTTTCTTCGCTTCTAATGCAAGTTTATGCAATAATAGAAGTCCAGCACCAACTGCACAGTTCAAGCATTTAAAGAATGGGATAATTCAAAGCTAAGCTAGTACATTTTACTACACATATACATGAATACCAATCTTAATAATAAATAATTACATGACTGAAGTGACTCCTAAAAATAGCGCTCTAAACAGTGCAATGATATACACATATTTTACTAGACATATGTATACACTTAGAAAAAATATGTAAGACCTACTCTACATATTTATGACAGCTGGCGAAAATATGAGTGATGGCGACACAATTTGACTGAGCGCCAAGGAGGAACCGGACTTCTGTTACATCATTACGTGCTGTATTTTACATTAAAAAAATCAATTTTTCTGTACTGCTAATAATACCCACATTTGTCCAATTTTGGTATGAAACAGCGTTGAAAAATGTTCACAAGAAAATGCGGCTGTGCTGTTTTGAGGTGCTTTGCTCCATTGACATCTCAATACGCTGTCACACTCAATGTTATGAGTGGGTACCCATAACGAAAAGATACCAGCAAAGTCAACCCATGTTTGCAAATCTGTTACACGTTTCAAAAATTTTTCAAGCAGCACTGAAGCTCTCCAAAACAACATCGACATGATATGTAATCAAGGAGAATGAAAAGTCCATTAAGACTTCCCAAATCATATGAATGACAATTAATATGTTAATGACAATCAACAAGTCCAACAAAAGTTTCCTTCAAAATGCTATAGCTAATAATACCCTCCAGTTCTTGCTTACTCCAAATGTAGTACTCCTCTATTACAAACGAAAATATTTTAATTTGACCTCACGGAGCTTTCATTATGGAAATTAGTTTAGTTCTGCTACATTGAAGACAGTTGTGATATGACTAACACTAGCTCTCCATATAATTTGAAGGTTTCTCCGGCAAAAATAATGCAAACGAAATATACTAGGTTCGGAAAATAAAGGGATCAACTTATTTCAGTCATCCGCAGTAGCACTAACGCACAATCCCAGGCAAAATGTAACGTTACAAAACAATTAAGTAGGAAAGTAACAGAACGACTGCACTATTAGAGTAAAAACCACATTCATGTACGAACTCCAAGCAAATTACGAAGTCTAAAAAACTCTAACGAAAAATTTCGCTTTTGTTATGTATGTGTTATGCATGTTGTCTCGAAATTCTAAAAAGAAAAAACATTACAGTCTACTCTTTCTTGCGAATATCAAAACCCGTAATAGAAGGATGGACGACTCTCCCACCTAAACCAAACACTGCAGTAGATTTATCTACTTGTATTAGGGAGTATATATATATATATATATATATATATAT